TAACTTTCTTCCTTGAGGTTGTTTGCAGCATTTATGTGAAACATGCTTGTCCTGTAAAAGGCACCTCGCTTTTATTTTGGCAGTCAATCTGTTTCAGCAATTAGGATTAATCCTGGGATTTTGAATTCCTGATTATTTCACTCTGATCTGAGAGATGATAGTCGGAGCAAGGTACACGCTATCTATTCTAAACATGCTGAACCCTTTGTACACTAAGCCTATTTTATCCCTCCCATCTCTAGGTAGAGCAGGAGTCGTGTGATTGTTGAAGACTCCTAACCCATGCTGTTGTAAGGGCTGTACTATGCAGTGCAGTGGAATTAAATCCATTTCTCTGGGAACTTCTGAACAGAAATTACTGTCAAACAAATTAGACCACAGAATCTAACTTTTTATCAGGTGATTCAACTGTTAAGGCCATTTACAATATGATTTCGTGACCCTTCTATTTACGTTTTCTTGCTAGTCTTTCCTAATTTGTCTTTTGAGTTGCTCATAGTAATTTATATTATGCAGTCACAATGTGCTTTGTGCACCAGTGCCAAAGAAATTCCCGAGACACATCCGTCACAGATGTTGCTGCCCCCATGCAAGCCCTTCTCACTATAAACTGGGATCTTGTTTGATATGGTTTGGTTTGGGTTTGGAGGGGATAAAGGAGAATAACTAAATATAACACATATGTTTATATAACACTCTTTAGCAGAAAATCTGATGTCTTGTAGGGTTAAGTGAAGTAAATGAAGGAAACAGCAACCTGTTCTGGGCTAGAAGGAAGGTGTGGGCAAATGGAGTAGAAAGCTCTTTTCCTAGCTTCCACATTAAGATGGAAGAAAAGGCGAGGGAAAGAAAATACCACTGCAGACTAAATGCACATACCTTCAGCTGTGATAGTAATTTAATTCACAAGATGGATTCTGAAATGTTTATTATGCATCCCAAAAACTTCACTGGGGATGTATCAGATGCAAGTCAGTAATGAGTGTAGACTGGAATATACATTCATATATATGTATGTATGTGTATATATATATTACACAATATACATGCAAACTTGTGACTGAAATTTTTTTGTTGTTTGAACTGTAAATCTGCAGGAATTGGGAACTCTGAGTATTGAATTTACCAAAACTCCCTTCCTCTCTTCTGAACTGTTGTTCATTTAACAGTTATGCTTGTCTTGTGTGAGAAAATGGAGGTACTAGTTCTGTACACAGGCACATATGAACATATATTTTGTTCTTGGTATATCTCTGAGACAGGAATGCCAGCTATGACAAAAGAAGATTTAAGGACAGTATTCAAGGAGGAAGTTCTTGTTGAAAAATAAAATAATAATAAAAAAAAATCTTCTTTTAACAAAGAACAACCAAACCATTCTTGAAGGTGATGGGGAGTTAGGCAGGAATTTTAAGGTCCATAGTAAGTATAGCAGTGGAAGTTGTGAAGGAACAACTCATTGGCTTGTCCAAGATGAATTAAACCACTTTAGTATAGTATTTTCTCTGTTGCAAAATGAAGTTTTAGCTTGTTTGGATTTTTTATTATTTTTATTTTTATTTCTGAAGAACCTTGGAAAATTTAAGGAGGCAGTCTGGAAAGGATGGGAAGTTATTTCAATAGAGGTAGAGAAACTCTTCAGACCTGTAAAACGATGTATTTCCACAAAGGGGGTTCTGTTCAGTCTGTTGATGAAAAGTCTTGTGGGTTTCCCACCAGTAGAAGCTGTTTAATTACATTTTGTGTATGCTCTTAGAGTACCTGTTTGGTGAGAACCTGACAAATGGTCTTCTGAAAGTAAATCAATTCTGTTTTCTTGGGCTTTCTTGAATATACATGATGTCCGGAGCCTGAAAAGCACAGCAGTGGCACAAGAGGAAGCAAACAGTGGGGCGCCAGTTAGGCTCTGTGGTCCTGTGAAAGACTTTGTAGCCTCATGTAAAGAAAAAGAAGAATGTGCCATTGGCGGTAGTGAGTAAATGGAACCTTCTTGTCTTCTTTGCTCTTGTCTCCTTATAAATAAACCATTGTTGTCCATCCTTGGCATTTGCAGTTCATTGTGATAAATTGGTGTTGATGTGTCTGACATTTCAACCAAGTTGTTTAATGGTGCTTTTCTGAAAAGGCAGACCTTGCTATAACTCGAATTAGTCCAGTCAATATCCAGGGTAAGACCATTCACTCTCACATACAGCGCTAACCCTTTCCTTTCTGTGTGGGTGAAGAAAGGAGGAAGTAAATATTTTGGTCACGTAAGCCCAAAAGGTCTGCGTTTGTGTTAGCGGCGTGCACAACAGAAATATAAGTCTGGGTTGCAGCTACTAAAAGCCTGTTACATAGCACAAGCAATGGCATTGAGTCCACTTGCACTTCTGCGATGTCTCTAGGTGAAAATAACAACCTTGCTGAAATAATGCAGAAGGATTTTCCTCAGAATCTTGCTTTGAGTTTTATGTAGGATCCTCTCTCTGTTATCTGCTAGTGCTTTCTCAACAGAGAGTTACTATGAGCATGAAGAAGATGGTCCTGCTTGTCATCAAAACACAATTCCTTTCCATGACTGTAGTCTGAACAAGAAGAGCTAGAACAGTTTTTTGAGGTGGAGACCAATAACCTGATTAACAAATGCTGTCATGACTTTTTTGGTGTCCCATTTCTCCCGGTATGCTAGTAAAAATACAAACCTCGCTCTCAAATGCACTACACAAATGCAGTGAAGAGACAAACTTTTGAAGTGCAAAACCATGGCAATTCATTTGGAATGATAAATCTGGGAAAGAAAGTTACTTTTATCTCAGATTTTCCCCACAGCCAGGCCTTGTGCCACTCTCACTCCCCAGGCCTCTTGTGCTGCCTCACAGATGTGCAGCCTGTGGCCCTCCCTCTCCCTTTCCCCTCAGTTGCTGTCCTCTCCTCAGAGCTCCCCTCAGCGGTGCCGCCATTAGCCATGAGGTGAGGTGAGGTGAGGCCTCTGCCGCCTTCCCTCCCTGGCAACCACAAGGCCTGACCTGCTGGCGTGCTGTCTTTGATCATCATCTGGCTCTGTATGGAGGTCAAAAAGTTGTATTGACTTGGCTGTATATTTTTATTTTTCCAAGTGGCATTCATCAGACTTGTAAGTGCCCGTGCGAGTGCTGGGTATCAGCAGCAGAAGCGGTATGCTTGGGGTGGGAGCCCTCTGTGCTTGAGGGGCTGTGGGCCAAACGGACTGGTTTTAGCTACCCTTTCTCTTGTTTGAGGTTGCTGCTGCTTACCAACGAGCTGCCACAGAGTTTGTTTTTCCTTCTCTTTCCATGAGTTATTTGGATGTGTTAAAGAAGGGAGGTGGGCCCCGGCATGCAGCTCTGCGGATGGTGTCCAGAACAGCCCTATCTTGATGAGGTAAAGTCAGCTTCCTGAAGGGTGAGGACAAGCCTCTGGTTTTACACCATTTTGTGCAATTCACGAGTGACCTGGTTTTCAGAAGTGCTGTCTGACTTCTGTGGAAGGACAGAAGTGTTTGGCACCTCCAAGTGGTCTTGCAGTCATGCTTAGAGGGGAGAGCAGGGCTGAGGGGAAAGCATGGGATGCGGTGGCACAGCTGTCCCTGCCGGTGGCAGCACGCAGCTCTGAGCTGGCAGAGGTGTTGATCCCAGTGCCTTGTTGCTGGAGAGCCCTTCCTGTGTCAGGTGATTTTTATTACTGGCCTGCCGGTAAAATAATAATTAAAAAGCCTAAGTAGGATTCCCTGACCCCACTCCCTGCCTTTAGATTATGAAATGTTCCTAAATGTTACTTAGGTCTGTAGTGAGCAAATTTCAACAAAAATGTTTTCTCGCCCCAGGGTTATAAAACTTCATTACGTCTGCTATTAACTGTTTGTCTGTGGCAGGACCTAATTTTTCCTGATGTATTGGTTGCCCACAGCTTCTAGAAACTGCTTGTAAAAGTGCTTCAAGGTGATGAGAAGATGGAGAAATCCTGGGATTAAATGACATTTCCTTCTAAGTGGCTGATTGATGCTTTGGGGCTGTAAAAGAGCCCTCTAAGGCCTTCTTCTGCAGGTGGAAATGGAGAGGTATAATTTTCATCCTCTCTTGCTCAGTACTTGGGAAGCAGACAGACTTTGCATAAATTTCTTTAGCAGGGCAGAGTAAGGTGAAAGATTTTTTTAGTTTTTATTTCAGAATTGAGGTTCCTCCCTTTTCAGAAGACCTGCAGCCATACGTAGCATTATCCTCATTAATACCAATGGAAATGCCATTTGAAAATGTGTAACTTTTTGAACAGATGAATTGGTCTGTTTAGTAAGCAAATCCTGTCCAACTGGGTGGTGGTTCCAGAATACTAAACAATAGTTGAAACAGTGGAACATTACACATTTGAGCAGCCTTGTCACAATAAATGTAGATATGTTGCTCTTTACACAAGTATGAAAAAAAGAGGAATTTTTGCAATGCAGAATAGTTTTGCAAGGAGACCTGATTCAAGAGGCAGCAGCACATTGTGGAGAGCAAAGCCTCAGCATAAAGCTGAGCGCTTCCAGGCCATGCACAGACTGAGATGGTAAGGAGAAAGTAGGAATGGACAACCAGGCTACAAGAGCATGTAAAGAACAGTGGGGCCTATGCTTGGTTTATTGTAACACCAGGTCACTGAGATGGCCAGAAACAAGAGCCTGTCTGCAACGAAATGCTAGTTGTATGTGAATCTAAGTTCTGTTCCACTTCCCTCAATTCCTTTGAGTTTAAAGTTAAGGGATTATGGGGTTCTTGATATAAACAGTGTCTTTTTTCTTTTCTTTTTTTGCATGTAAAAGTATTGTGGTCTCTCCTGGGGAACATGTACAGGAGATCTAAGCAGCCATACCTCAAAATCACAGTTGAGTTGAGATTTCATGGCAAGTTTTCTCAGGACTAAGCCATACAAAATCAACGTAACTTTAAAAAAGTGCAAACAATGTTAGCAATATCTAGAAATATGTTAAACTTGTGTTTTTTTCTTTCTTTATTTTTTTCTAGCCAAACAAGTATGCCCAGCTGAAAAAATTAGCTGTGGAGACTCAAGCAACAAATGTATCCCGTCGTCCTGGAGATGTGATGGGCAGAAGGACTGTGAAAGTGGCATTGATGAGGCTGGTTGCACTCCTGGTGAGTTGGAGTAATACATTAATACATATGCAACATCTCCCCTTAGGACTATAAAAGTTCTAGAGTGACTATTACAAATTACATGTAAAAGGATGACTTTTCCTGCCAACAAAATTCATTCATTCTACATTTGCAATGCTAAGTAGTGGATTTTAGAAAAAGTGAGGAAAGACAGATTCTCCGGTTGGAGCTGGCTAGAGAATGTGAAGAGAACTCTAGTGAGAATTAACTATTCTTTTAATGCTCTAGTAGAATATAGTCAGTTTAGAATATGATTATAAGGGCTTAATACCAGGTGCTGTGCTAAAGATTTCAATACCAATGTTTAAACCTTGTTCTCCAATAGCTCAGCAGCTTACTGCCCCCTCTTTCCTCCTGCAGAATATGTCCCTGTGGGCTAGGTTAGCTTCTGCTGGGATATAATGGATAGGCCTGGACGTTTCTTTATAAATAGCTTGTTGATTTCACTGGACATAGAGAGAATGATATACTGTTTACTGTAACAGTTGTAAATTCAGTCCCTAAATGGCCATTGCCTTTTATTAGCCCTTTTTCTGCTGCATGAAAGAGCTCTTTAACAGTGTTTTCCTTCTGTGAAAACTCCTACACTGTGTAATCAAGTCATTTCTCAAACTGTCTTTTTGATAGACTAAACATATTTAATTCTTTATGCTTCTTGTTGTCAAGTATTTTCTTTTGAATGAATGCTTGACTCATTTTTGTGGCTCCCTTTGATATCCCAAATGGTTTTCATGGTTTTCCAACTTTCTTTTTATACAGACCACTGGAACTTAGGGAATAGTCTTACCACTACTGTTCAGAAGTGAAATCACATTTCTATTATTGCTCTCATATAACTGTGTTATTAGAGTTATATGTTGTTATTAAATTATTTGTTGCTATTAAGTGCAAATGGTCCCAGGCTACTAAGAATTTGTCTCTTGTTCTGTGTGATTACCTTCAACCCTCTGTCAGTGTTCCAGTCATTTCAGGTGATATCAGAAATATTATTTTTACTTGCAGATTACTGGTGAAAGGGCTGAATGAGTGCATGTAAACACACACTAATGTTTCTTAATTTGAAAACTCAATTTTGGGGTTTTACACCTACCCAGTTCATAATCCACATTGTCTTTTCATTGAAGTTGTGTAACAAAGCTCAGTATGAAGGTTCAACGTGACTCACTAATTTGATGAAATACCGATTAGAGAGAAACTTTTCCAAAGCATCTCCATTCCATATTGCACTGACTCAGAGGTCCAGGAGTGATGGTAACAGGCTGCTTTGTGTGGGATGAGCTCTGGGCTTTCTCTGAGTTTGTGCAGCATAGTTCCGGTTGGGTTGGCTTGCAAGGAAAAGAAATAGGTTGCCTTACATTGCCTCCTGTTTCATGTGGAATTAAGTGCTTGTGCACAAACCATTCCTAATTTATTAATTATGATGATGTCGTAAGTTGGTAATGGGCCCTGGTCCTTTGTCCTTTAAGCTACTGATATTTTGGCAGTTTTAAAGTCTTTTTCAGCTTTCTGTATGAAACTCTTAGGGTTCTGTCTATGGCATATGCTTTCTTTATTTTTTTCATTAAATTGGATTAAAGGCAAGTTCAGAAGAGAATTGTAAAAAAAAAAAATTATTCTTTTCCACTATGAGTTAGTGAAGTTAAAACAACTTTGCACTGGTGGCTGCCTCGACTAATTTAATGCTGCTGCTCACATTAGCAGTTGTCGTCTCATGGAGTTTTTTATTTATAATAATACTTTATTAGAAATTGCTTGCTTTGAACTTTTTTTTTAAGGCTCTGAGGTAACCCCCAAAATGAATTTAGATATGTTCTGAACGCCACATAATTTCAGCATGATGATGCTATTAATGGATTTAGAAATAGCTGAGTGTTTCCCTTCTCGATGTTTCAGCATCTCTAGCCTTGCTTATGTGCCATATTTTTAGTGCACATTTAGGTTCTTAAAATGGAAATTTAATCCAAGGACAAATTACCATCTTCTGATGGTTGTTGGGTAACTCATGTGAAATGAATTACTGATTATCATCTAGCTCCTTCTGGTTGAGTGTCGTCCCCACATTGGTGCCACCTCAGTGGGTACAAATTGGCAGTCACTGTTGGGGAGTTGCTGCTGAGTCTGAATGTGGGATGGGATCTTCTCTAGCCAGCGGTGAGGAAGAAGGGCATTGACAAGTAAACTTTGAGCTTTCTGGGTGGGTAAAAAACATCAGAGGCTTTCAGTCCTGAGATCTGTCAGCTCAGCACCTTTCAGAGGCATTAAATTAACTTTGAGAGGAAAACAGGAGATACTCTTGAATAGCTGGAGTGGGAGCATTTTTTATGAGGTTGCTTGTCAAATTAAGGTGTTTCCATCACGGATGAGAATAAATGAGTTAGCTGTTTAAACTCCAAGAGCTTGTGGAGGATTGATAGCTATCCTCCCTTTTGTCCAAATCTGATAAAACCTCACTAAGCCTATCTACTGATACTCTGTGAACATTCCCATTTCTTTTCCATATAGAATCCTTCTTTATCCGTTTTCTCTTATCTCAGTAGCAGACAAGATCACGATTCAAAATAAAACCCTGTTCCTAGGTTCAGACCTCTTTTTTTTTTCCTTTTCTCCTCTGCATTCACTTTTTTGTTTTCATTTTAAATGAAACTTCACCACTGGCTGCAGCTGCAGCCCCTCAGCGCAGAGCACCATGTCGTAGCTAAGGCTGCAGCTCTCATAGAGCTGACAAACTTGTCCGCAGACAACACGTTTTTCAGGACAAATGTTTAGAAGGCAATTTATTTGTGCTCATGGCAATTTCTGTGTTGAGAGTTTGCACTTGCAATCTCCTTTAAGCTTTGTATTGGCCACATCTTTGGTGGATTATCTCGCATGAATGGAAAACAGACTGGTGTCCTACAGCCCTCTCCTTTTCTAGCGGTCACTGCTGATGACCAGCTGTTTTGCCTGGCACCCTGTGTGATCTGAAGTGGATTTGTCACTGCAGAGCTTAGGATAACTTTTCTTCAAGAAAGGAAAGAACTTGCAGTCTTGTATGCTGTTCTTGCAGCACCTCCATTAGACAAGAGGTTCAGCTGCTTAATTAGGAAGCTCTGGACTTACCTGGGCACAGGTATGTTGTTAACCCACAAATAAGGAAAAATTTCTCCCCAAACTTCCACCAAGGAAACAATGGAAAGTGTATTATTTAACCTGCAGTGGATAAAGCATTGGTAATTAGGCATCCAGATTTGTGTCTGCACAGGTTGTAATTGCACCAGGGATTAGCTGTGGGTAGTAATCCTCGCATGTAGTTAGCTAAGTGCCTGTCGGCCTAAGTAACTTCCAGCAAGCTGAGCAGCAGGCTTTAAGTCCACTACTAATGTTCAGTGCACTAACAATTGTTGAAAATGCAAATACCTACCTTTTTCAAAATCACAGAGTACATAAAACCAAAATAAACTCATTTTTTGGTTCTGTGGAGCAGAAGTAATCTGTGTCTTTACAATACTAAGTGTGTTGTAGTCTTAAGTCAGTTTGCTTCTCTAGTACAGATATCAGCAGTTTATAATGTAAGCACAGTCCTGAATTTGCTGGCCTGAAGATACTGGCTTCCCCTTTCTGATTTCTGTGGTCAAGGCTGCCTGCTCCTGATGTACCTTAACTTTCTTCACAGTAGATTGGATAAGTTTAGGAACACGTTTACTGAGTCTAAAAAGAGAAATTGAATGTGAGAGACTGTAGTTAAAGCATCACAGCTCAGGGGCAGTCTGGATTTCAATAACTACTGCAGAACTTGTTAAATCTCTGCTGAGAGAGACAATGACCAGTGTTTTGTCAGCTGCTCAGGAATGCAGAGAATTTCAGCATGGCTTTAAAAAAGGAAGTACTACCATCCCATCACAGCTGAAATGGGCATTCATTCCTTCAATGGGCATGTCTATTGCTCCTCCTGAGTGGGCTGTGTAGGATGCTCAAGAAAGAGAGCAATGTACAGGTCCCGAGTCTTCTGATCGTGTTACTGGTTCTCTCCTGAACCAGTTTTTGCATCCAGTTAGAAATTGTGTCCTGCAGATAAGGAGCTGGAAGTGCATTCAATTTTCCCTTCTTTTGTAACAGATACAGTGAAAGGCTGTATTTGTTGGTACTTTGATAGGCTAATTTCCCATACCATAATTTATTCAGTTTAATTATAGCATGGAGATAAAGCACTGCATGGGAACTTGTGCACATAAGAAAGGACAGACTTAGACCAGTCTCTTAACATTGGGCCAGGGTGAGAGCCAGGAATTCTGCAAGAATCTCACAACAGGGACAACCTTGTTACTGCGGGTATCTTCTGCCGTAACTGAAAATAACTGTATTTGTGTTATATGAGACAGCAAGGTCTTCTCAAACATATTCTTGTGTGTTTTTGCCTTTTTCCCTTTTCCATGTGTTTCCTTGTTCCCAAAAAGGCCTTTATGCAGACATGCACAGCATTTATGAAACCCATAAATCTCTGCTTATGTGGCACTAAGTTGTTTGCACTTGGAGGATGTTCTTTTAACCTGAGCATGCTTCGGTGACTCACAGGTCCCACATCTTTAGATCTAATAGCTGTGTACTTATATCTCACACCTATTTTTGCTGTGTACTTTGCAAGATCAATTCGCTTTCCACTTTGAACTTGCTGGTCCCTGCAGGTGATGCTGGTCCCAGCTCCTCTACAGCTTTGTTAAATACACCTTTAAGTTGCTGAGCTTTAAGCAAGTTAGGAATCTTTATGGATGTGTGTGCCTGTGTTCCTAATGCAGTATTTGAATATTCTGCTTTTTCAGATATTTTAAGAAAAAGCAGTAGAGCTGTGTTCACTGACAGCAGCAGAGACTGAGTTATGCCTTAATTTTAATTTTCACACGATAGCCCCATTCCTGTAACTTTTTTTTTTTTTTTTTTTGTTCTTGCCCAGATTTCCTACTCATTTCAGTGATGAGCTTCATTTTTCACTTGTCTGATAGTCA